AATATAAAAAAATATTTTTTTAGGAAAAATAAATAAATATAAATCAATACTCGAAGTGTTTTTACTTTTCGTAAGGCCTAAAATTTAAAAATATTTGTTTAAAAAATACATACTGTATTGTTTTTGAAAATTTGATTATATTTTTCGATTTATTATTTTATTTCGCAAAAATATGAGTCAAAATAATCTCCAGTTTGGAGAAAATCCTACTGATGTAAATTTAATAATAAAAAAAAATACTTTAAGGTCGGTGTATTTCCGGTTTCTCCGGAAATCCGTACAAGTCTTGAAAATTGTATTTTCTGCAAATTATTAAACTTGTAATTATTTCAATTACCTCCGACTTATTTTAATTAAAATTATTAATTACCGGGCCATATAAGGTACTCATTATGTAGAGCAATGTCAACGACAATGAATTAAATCTATTTTTATCCGAATTGTTTCTCATGATGAGTCAAATTATTGTTTATAAAAGAAATATCCTTGAACTGTATTTAAGTAAGTGAGAAAAAATTCCGGAAATAGCAAAACGGAAGTAAATGCAAAACTGCAAAATGAATAAATTAATTAAATGTCACAAACTTATTTAAATAGATTTTTTGCACACACTGTATATGGTGATGACACAATGATAAGTCAATTGCATTCAAACGAAATAGAAACATGCAAATTAATAAGAAAATTCAGTATTTATAGTATTTATCACGTACATCGGACGCGTGTTTTATGTTTTCTCGCAGTGTTACCAACACTAGATAAACAATAACGGCCCTAAGAGTGTCGTGACGTGTCGACTTGATTTTTTCGTGTGACCTTTGGATGACCTTTGGCACTTACCCATTTGAAGAGGTAGTCGTAGGGGCGGACGAAAACGACGAAAAGGCCGCCGAAGATGGCGAGCAAGCCCAAAAAGGCAATCAGAAGAGGAGCTAAAAAAGAAAAATTTTTATTATAAATAGGAATAAAAAAATTACAGAACGCAATAATATTCAAGTCCGGTTGTAAAACCCGTTTCTTGAATTTTTTTAATAAAATAATAACAGGTCGCGACGGAAAAATTTGATTGGGTTTCACTCAAAATAAATTATTTGCGAAACAAAATTAAGTTTCGGGTTTTTAAGACGCTCTTCAGAATAATAAGTGTTAGATTTTTTAATAGAATTATTAAATTAAATGATTATTTTTATATCAAAACTAAATTTACTCAAGTATTAACATTTTTTGTATAAATAAATATCTATTATTAGAAACTATTATTATTAAAATTATTAAAAAATAACAAAATAATGAAAAATCAGATTAAAATTAAAAAATTTAGATAATAATGACAACTAGTCGAGGSATAGCCAAGCATAGCAATTCATTAATTTCTTTTTCTAATTATTTATTCTTCAAAAAATTAATGGCTTAATTTTTTTTACTATATTTTTTTTCTTTTATAATTTAATTTTTTATGGAGTCGTTGATTTTTTTTTATTTCTTGGGATTTGATTTAATTTTTTTATATTTCTAAATTCAGCTTAAGGTTTTTTTTTTTTTTTTTGAAATAGTTTACAGGTTGACTCCAGTTTTTTTTCCTGACGACTTTTTCTCTCTCTTTTAACTACGCTTCTCCTAAGACTATCTCTGTACATCTTGTATATGTTTTATAATTTTTTTCACACTACTGAAAAATTTTAAAAATTGAAATTTTGAAAATTAAAAAAAATAATACCGTTATTTCAAGTTTTTTCTCTTTTATCATTGGTATTGGTTTAGATACCAGTTTCGAACTTTGCAAGTCATTCCTCTTCAGGGTTTTACTTGTCTTTTTCAATTTAATTTTTTATGAAGTCGTTATTTTTTTTTATTTGTTGGGATTTGATTTTTTTTATATTTCTAAATTTAGCTTAAGGTTTTTTGTTTTGGAAATAGCTTACAGGTTGACTCTTTTTTTTTCTTGACGACTTTTTTCTTTCTTTTAATTACAGTTCTACTAAGATTATCTTTATACACCCTGTATACGTTTTATATTTTTTTTTACACTATTTACTGAAAAAAAAAAATACAAAATTATACAAAATAAAAAAATAAAAAAAAAATACAGTAATTTCAAGTTTTTTCTCTGTTATCATTGGTATTGGTTTAGATACCAGTTTCGAACTTTGCAAGTCATTCGTCTTCAGGGTTTCACTTGAACTTCATGTAGAACCCTGAAAATGACTTGCAAAGTTCGTGTCATGAAGGTGGGGTATACAGGGTGGTTAATGTACCACCCCCAACAGATAAAGTTTATAATTTTTTAACATAAATTGTAACATTTTTAATAAATAAACATATCTTTGTAAAACAATAAATAAAAAACCGTTTTTGTTTAAGAAAAAAATATTAGTAAGCTAATCTCAAAAGTTTAAACAATTAATTAAAATAAAAAATATTTTGGCATCGCTCCTTTACAACCTTTAGACATTTATTAGTTTATTTCCAAAAAACTGGTAGTGTACTCAAAATAAATTTTTTTTTAACGAAAAAGTGTGAAGTTTGTGGGAGGTTTCCATTAAAAAAAATGTTGCTATGTTTATCTCTTAAGTGTAAACAATTAATTAATAATCTTTTTTTTTGAATAGCATGTTTATAGTCATTGCACACCCATAAATTTATTTGCCAAAAAAATTAGACTAGTCATTATAAAAAAAATATGTTAATAAGTGTGAATTTTGATATAATTTTGTAGTTTCAAGCTTGGCAATTAATTAATAATAATTGTTTAGGTTGTAAAATTGTAAAAATTATTGTCAATTCACACTAAAAACTTATTTTTAATTTCATAAAAGTCAAAATATTTAAAAATAATCGGAAAACCCGATTTTTTCGCATTAGTAATTAATTCAAATTAAATCTTATTTTGGTTTTGACGTGGGAGAAATAGAAATTAACCAAATATAAACGAATTTGTAAACATTATTGTTGTTGCAAAATAAAAATTATAACTTTTTTTGAAAAAACTAAAGATACAGGTGATCTATAAAAAATTGTCTTTCAATTACATATTTTCAACCCTGACAAAAATAATTAATTATAAATAATAATAATAATTGTTTAGGAATATACTGTTGTCAAAATGTTTAAAAATAATTCGAAAACCCCATTTTTTCGCGAAATAGGAATTAAAAAATATAAACGAATTTTTGTAAACATTATTGTTGTTGCAATATAGAAAATAAAAATGCAAAATTCCTAGACCTTGGTGGAAAATAATTCACTCGGGATTTATTTATACTTGTTTGAAATAAAGCATGAAAACTCGTTTGGTGCAACTTGTTCTAGAATAAAGCGTCTTCTTCCATATTTTTATGATTCGAGTTTGTTGCTTTGTTTTGAATTCGATTTTTCGGTGAAAAAAGCGCAAAAGTGTTTAAAAAATTCCGATCAGCTCTTAGATTAGAATTCCGCTCACACGACTTACTTTTGAACCGTTCGCAAAATATCCTAAACGGCGTGTCATTTTCTGGGGTTTGAAAATCCTCTCGTCTCGTCCTCACAGGAGTGTAACTCCAGCGCACTAACCGATTGCACACAGTAACCAAATCTTTCATTTTCTTTGATTATTTCACTCTCACTGGACAACACTTGTCACAGTCAAATCCGATCGATAAATGGGCAAATTCGCGGCTTAGTTTGTATTATACGCGGTTACTTAACTAACGTCTTAAATAATTGCAAAGTACTTTCACTGACCAATCGACGAGAGGTTTATTAAGAACGTGGGCGCCCCACCACACAAGCACATGTGCATCTTGGTTGGCCTTGCGAGGAACGACGAGGAATTTTCGGGCGAAATTTGGGTTTTCGGAATGGATTTTTAGAGGAAAGCGGACGCGACTGACGTCAAAGGGAAATTATGACCCGAAAATACGGAATTTTTAATCTAAAACTGGTTCAAAAGAAACACCCTGTATATTTTATTGGTCAAAAAACCCGCAAAAAAATTGCTCATGTGTGATTAAGTCAACTGTTTCAGTAAAACAGCCTGTATAAGGAAAAAGAAATTCATTTTTTATAAATCAAGATTTAAACACCCTGTATAAATAAAAAAATCCATTTTTTTGATTAATGCTTTTTTGAAGAAATGTTTTTTGATTTTTCTAAATCTTGTAGTGAATTTAGTGTTCATTTGTGACTAATTTAAACATGTTTTTTTTCTTAAGTTGGTGTCACTGCTTTAAATTAATATTTTTTCTTTGTGTATTTTCTATTTATTGTTGCAATTATTTTAAAATAAATTTTAAGATTGTGTCATTTGCTCGGCTTCGCCTCGGTGGTTACGCATTGTTATTTTTTGATTTCTTTCTTTTTCAATTTATTTTTTATGAAGTTGAATTTTTTTATTTGTTGAGATTTGATTTAATTTTTTTATATTTCTAAATTCAACTTAAGGTTTTTTTGTTTTTTTTGAAATATTTTTGTCTAAAACAGTTTCAATAGAACACCTTGTATAATTAAAAAATATTCTAAATTTTTGTTTAATGTCTTGGCTGGCTTTTATTATCTTGAATCTGAAATTAATTTTTTTTATAAATTAAGATTTAAACACCCTGTATAAATAAAAAAATCCATTTTTTTGTTATTGCTTTTTCAAAAAAGTGTTTTTTGTTTTTTCTAAATCTTGTAGTGAATTGAGTGTTTATTTGTGACTAATTTAAACATGTTTTTTTCTTAAGTTGGTGTCACTGCTTTAAATTAGTATTTTCTCTTTTTCATTACTCTTTTGTGTATTTTCTGTTTATTGTTGCAATTATTTTAAAATAAATTTCAAGATTGTGTCATTTGCTCAGCTTCGCCTCGGTGGTTACGCATTGTTATTATTTTTTGATTTCTTTCTTTTTCAATTTATTTTTTAAAAAGACGTTGATTTTTTTATGTGTTGAGATTTGATTCAATTTTTTTATATTTCTAAATTAAGCTTAAGATTTTCTTGCTTTTTTGGAAGATTTTTGTCTAAAATGGTTTCAGTGAAACATCCTGTATAAGTAAAAAAATTCTAATTTTTTGTTTAATGTCTTGGTTGGGTTTTATTATCTTGAATCTGAAATTATTACTTTTAAGAATCAAGATCAAACACCCTGTATAAATAAAAAAGATTTTCAATTTTTTTATTAATGCTTTTGCAAAGAAGTGTTTTTGTTTTTTTCTAAATCTAACAGTAAATTTATTTTTTATTTGTGACTAATTTAAACATGTTTCTTTCTTAAGTTGGTGTCACTGCTTTAGATTAATATTTTCTCTTTTTTATTACCCCTTTGTGTATTTTCTAGTTATTGTTGCAATTATTTTAAAATAAATTTCAAGACTGTGTCATTGCTCGGCTTCGCCTCGGTACTTACGCATCATTATTATTGTTTGTTTTTTTTTTATTTATTATGAACTCGTTGATTTTTTTTATTTGTTGAGATTTGATTTAATTTTTTTATATTTCTAAATTTAGTTTAAGGTTTTTTGTTTTTTGAAATATTTTTGTCTAGAACAATTTTAGTAAAACACCCTGTATAAGTAAAAAAAATCCAATTTTTTGTTTAATGTCTTGGCTGGGTTTTATTATCTTGAATCTGAAATAAAAAATTTTAAGAATCAAGATCAAACACCCTGTATAAATAAAAAATATTTCCAATTTTTTGATTAATGTTTTTTCAAAGACATGTTTTTTTAATTTTTCTAAATTTAATAGTGAATTTAGAGCTCATTTGTAACTAATTTAAACATGTTTTTCTAAGTTGGTGTCACTGCGTTAAATTAATATTTTCTCTTTTTCATTACTCTTTTGTGTATTTTCTATTTATTGTAGCAATAATTTTAAAATAAATTTCAAGATTGTGTCAATTGCTTGGCTTCGCCTCGGTGGTTACGCATCATATTATTATCATAATAATAATTAATCAATAATCAATAATTTCAAATAATAAAAATACTCCACAGATATTTACAAAATTATAATAATTATACTATTAATAATGACAACAGTAAGCCAAGGCGTAGCCGAGTAGTTACTGCAATTTCCTGATATATTTTTCTAATTATTTATTATTCAAATAATAATAATAATAAAAATATCTACACCATTTATTTAAATTCTTAAAATAGACCCAATTTTTTTTGATTTATTAATCTACTTTCCAAAAATAGATGATACAGGGTGATTCATGTTTTTCTTTTTTCTAATTTAATTTAAAGGAGTAAAAAATATTTCTACGTTAGGTTTTTTGAATATTGTTTTATTTATTTTTTGGTCAAATACAGAGTGAGTCATAAGGGTTGTTTTTTTTTAATTTTGGAGAAAACAAGTTTGAACAACACAATTATTATTTTGTGTAATAAGATATACGAGTATACAGAGTGGAGACAAAAAGCATTTTTTACTTATTAATCTCAAATAAACACACAAACTTATACAGAGTGAATAAAGTGAGTCGAACTTAGGATTTTATTTGATTATTAATAGTAATAGAAACATAGATACATACGGGGTGTTTCAAAACTCGCGTTCAAGAAAAAAATGCCAAGTAAGATATCAGGAACATTGAAAAAATTTAAAAAAATTCTACGTAAAAAAATTTCGAAATTATGAAGGATTAAATTTTGCACTTTGACCCTATTTATTTCTTTTGTAAAAATTATTTTGTTTTTTTGCTGCAATTTATTAGAAAAGAAAACAAAGAAGCTGTATCCTGAGTTGTAATTGTTTTTTACCTTTACTGAATAATTATCTATGAAAACACCCTGTATATTTAAATACTCTTGTAGAGAATTTTTTCTTTTTATTTTTTTTATATTTTTCTGTATACATTTTCCTGATATAGGGTGAGTAATGAAAGTTGGCTGTTTCAATTATTTCTTCTTTTTTCTCCATTTAACTACATATTTTCAGTGTCATTACAAGACCTTGAACTTGAAACATTAATGTTTCTTTAACATTTAATTTTTTATTAGTTAAAAACATTTTTAGGTTATTTTTTTGGTCAAGTACAGGTTGAGTCAAAAGTTTTTGCAATTTTGAAAAAACAAGTAAGAAAATTTATTAGTTTGTATAATAATTAAGACACCTACAGAGTGGAGAAAAAAGCAAGAAAAGCCTACTACTCTTACAAAGTATTTTTTTCTTTTTTATGTCCTATAATTATCAAAATTGTACAACATTTTCCTTATACAGGATGAATCATGAGAGTTTGCTGCTTCAATTGTTTCTTATTTTTTCTTCAATTATTCTCGGTGTCATAACTATTTTGGGGTTTTCGAAATAGAAAAAAAATATTTAGAGTTTTTTATTTGCAAAAAAATTAATTAGAAAAATTGACGTCATTAAAAAAAAATTAAGCACGTTTGAAGGAGTCTTTCTTGGAACAAGATAATCAATCAAGTGTCAGTTGAAACAAAAGAGACTTTGATGCGAATTTTTTTGACCGGCCGACTAGATAGATTACGGTTTTTGGTAACTGTAAATAGAAATTCAGTTCAATACAGAGTGGACTAAAAAAGATTATTCCCAAATTTAAATTCCTTGTTTTATTTTGGGTTTTTGAAATAAACAGAGTGAACCAAGGCCAAAACGAGAAAGATTACGAAATCGGTTCAATTTGGAAATTTTCAAATGGGGTCAATTATCTTAGATTTCGAAAAACAAAACTCCAATTTTCATTAACGACCGGATTTTCCTCACGATTTTAAACAATCATAATTATTTTCGTGCAAACAATACAATTTTCTCGCTTCCATTATCACACAAACAAGTCGCAAAAACACCGATTTTCATGAAATTGTCTTTTTGTCTTTTAATTATTTCCTGATGTAGATTTCCATTGTTCATTGACGCACTCTTGGTATGGAAAATCACCGGTCCATCATCCACCGCAGCAAAAAGCAGTTCAAAGACTAAGCAATTAATTCGAATTAGTTGGCAAAAAATTACAAATCTAAGAAATTAAAGGATTTTAGTCGGGAATAAGTCATAAAAATCGACTTGAATTTGTCGCCATTTTTGCTCCATCATGTAGAACGGTGGCCGTTAAAGGGAACACCGCGTCGGCCGGACCTTAACCCCATTGATCGGTTCTCGAGTTCAAGATTTATCGACCGGTTTGCCGAGGAAAAACCCTAGAGAGGCATCCCTCGAATTGATTTTATTTTCTAATGACCTTGAAGCGAATTGTGAAGAAATAGATCAAGATAAGGACGAAGATTGGAATGAAGAAAATGATGCTAATGCGAAATTCTTTGAAATATACACAGCGTCTCGTAATTATAGTTACATTTTTTCAAATAAAACACCATGTATTTTATTTGATAAATGGATTCCTTGCAAAAAAAGAACAAAAATAATGTAAATTGTGAAAAAAAAAATAACTTCTGTGATGCTATTACAAAACCAAATTTGTACATATACAGGGTGTAGCATTTTTTGTAAAAAGTAAAATTGTGCTCTTATTTAAAAAGATAGCACAAAACGGTTTTTGCAGCATCATAGAGCTTCATTTTGCCAACATTTCAAGAAATGTTTGAAATATACACAGCGGCTCTAATTATAGGACAAACTATAGTTACATTTTTTCAAATAAAACACCCTGTATTTTATTTGATAAATGGATTTGTTGGAAAAAAAGAACAAAAATGATGTCAATTGTGAAAAAATTGTAGCTTCTGTGATGCTAATGCAAAACCAAATTTGTACATATACAGGGTGTAGCACTTTTTGTAAAAAGTGAAATTGTGCTCTTATTTGAAAAAATAGCACAAAACGGTTTTTGCAGCGTTATAGAGCCTCATTCAGCCAACATTTCAAAAATTGTTTGCAATATACACAGCGTCTCATAATTATAAGACACACTAAATTTGCCTTTTTTAAATAGAACACCCTGTATTTTATTTGATAAATAGATTCGTTGAAAAAAAGAGCAAAAATGATGTCAATTGTGAAAAAAATTTAACTCCTGTGATGCCAATGCAAAACCAAATTTGTACATATACAGGGTGTAGCACTTTTTGTAAAAAGTGAAATTGTGCTCTTATTTGAAAAGATAGCACAAAACGGTTTTTGCAGCGTCATAGAGCCTCATTTAGCCAACATTTCAAGAATTGTTTGAAATATACACAGCGTCGCATAATTATAGGACAAACTAAAGTTGCATTTTTTCCAATAGAACACCCTGTATTTTACTTGATAAATGGATTCGTTGAAAAAAAGAGCAATAGTGATGTCAATTGTGGAAAAAATTTAGCTTCCGTGATGCT